GCGATAGAGATATCCCAGGGTCTAGTATCCCAAAAGGTAGGATCTATCGGATGTCTCCAGCATAGCTTGATGAGCTTCGCTGACAACTCAAGAATCTCATGGACAAGGGTTGGATCCAGCCGAGTGTCTCCCTTTATGGGTCTCCTGTCGTATTTGTACCTAAGATGGGGGAAACGTTGAGGTTGTGCATTGATTATAGGGGCCTCAATTCCATCATTGTGAAGAACGCAAAGCCCCTACCGCACATCGATGACTTGTTGGACCGAGTGCAAGGGTGCCGGTACTTCAGCAAGATGAAGTTTGGGTACCATCAGATTGCAATCAGGCCCGAAGATCAACACAAAACCGCCTTTCAGACCAGGTACGGTCTGTACAAGTTTGTGGTGATGCCTTTTGGCCTTTGCGATGCTCCTTGCACCTTTCAGCACACGATGAATAGGATCTTTCATGAGTACATAGATAAGTTTGTCATCGTGTACCTCGACGACATACTTATCTTCAGTAGGACTGTTAAGGAGCATGCGGCCCATGTAGATAAAGTTCTCAGCCTCCTTCGACAACACCAGTTCAAGATTAACTGCGAAAAATGCGAGTTTGGCCGCACCTGGATCTTATATCCGCGTCATGAGTTTTTTGTGGATGGCTCGAAGCCCGATGATGGGAAGGTGGCCAGCATTCGTGATTGGCCACATCCTTAGTCTGTGACTGAGGTGAGGTCCTCCTTCGGTATGACAGGCTACTACCGCAATTTTGTCAAGAATTATAGCACGGTGGCCACGCCCTTGTCGGATCTCACACGCCTTGACACCCCATGGGAGTGGACAGACTGGTGTGAGGCTTCCTTCAAACATTTGAAGCATGCCCTTACACATCATGAGGTCTTGAAACTACCCGATCCTGACAAACCGTTTATTGTTACTACAGAAGCCAGCCAATATGGCATTGGCGAGGTGCTTGTGCAGCAAGAGGAAAAAGTTGAGGCCCGTAGAGTACATGTTCGAAAAGATGCCCTCTCAGAAGTTGGCCAAGTCCATGTACGAGAAAAGCTTTATGCGATTTACAGAGCGCTGGCCCATTGGAGGCAGTACCTCCTTGCGCGATTCTTCTACGTTAGGACTGATCATCAGACCCTGAAGTAGATGTGGACGCAACCAGTACTCTCTGATGCCGTTAAGCGTTGGATTGAAGTCATAGACCAATATGACTTTAAGCCAGGATACATTAAGGGAGAGTACAACAAAGTTGTTGATGCGTCGTCGCGTACACCAGACTTCCTTGGTGCGCTGATCACTGAGTTTGGGCTTGCGGACGATGTTACTCGTTCATTGGTGGAAGCCTATCGCGAAGATCCGTTCATGGCAGAGATCATATGCAGACTTGAGGCGAATGATAAGGTCACCTCGGACGAGTTTGTGTTGGTCGACGGCCTGCTGTTCCTCGAGAAGGCCGGGAATAAACGTTTGTGTGTTGCCAGTAGAGAGTCTTTGCGTAGTTTCTTTTTAGGTGAGTGTCATGACGCCACCAGACATTTTGGTTACAAGAAGACTGCAGCCAATATGCTGCAGCAATTCTGGTGTCCCACGAAGGACGCCAAGCTGTACGTCGAGACTCGTCAAGTTGTCAATGAAACAAGCCTTGCACATAGGCACCTCTTGGGCTGCTCAAGCCCCAAGAGGCCAGGTGAGAGCTTGTCCATGGACGCCATGGATACGCTAGTCACGACCAAGAGTGGCATGAGATACGTATTTGTCATTGTGGATAGGTTTAGTAAGAATGCTAGATTAGTAGCTATGCTAGAGACAGCAAAGATATAATATGTCATCAGATTGTTTAAGGAAAACTGGGTTAGAGACTTTGGCCATTGTCAGCGACAGGGATGTGCGTTTCACCAGTGAGTTGTGGAAGGCTGCAGCTGCGGAGCAAGGTACACAGCTGAGAAGACCTCCGGGAACCACCCAGAGGCAAATGGACAGGCCGAGCAGATGAACCACGCTGTACAACACCTATTGAGGCATTACATTAAGCCCAATCAGATGGACTGGGACGAGAAGCTTGCTCTCGTCACCAGCTTGTACAATAACGCAGTCCACAGCACGACAGGAGTTGGTCCCGACAATCTGCTTTTAACTTTCAAGCCTAGACTGCCTCTACAGTCTTCCCCCGAATACAACGTACGGTCATTATAGCTGAATTTAGACGGAAAGATGGACCAAATTCAGCTATAATGACTGTATGTTGTATTCGGGGGAAGACTGTAGATTTCCTACTACCTGCGAATCAGCCCACTGCTGCGGCCGACACTCTCAAATTTGCTAATCGATATGAGCACCTCATGCAACAAGCAGTGGAAAACATGCACAAAGCCGGCGGTGATGATAGAATCAGAAAACCAACACCGTCGCCCGTCTACATTTCAGGTTGGTGATAGAGTCTGGGTTAAAGGGTCCGAACTGGAGCAGGAGCATGGGATTTTCGGCAAGCTCATGCCACAGTACTTTGGACCATGGGAGGTCCTGGTCATCGTTGGAGATAACCCCGATGGGCCATCTTATGTGGTACGAATCCCTGGTCCCCTTTGCACCTACCCTGTTTTCCACACCTCCAAACTTGCACCTTTGAAGGAAAATGATCAGTTTCCCTCTCGTCGATCTATGCTGCCCCCAACCATGGATGGAGAAGTCGACATCGACAGCATTGTGGAACATAGGGAGATGCCAATGCCGAGACCATCTGGCTGGGGTTGACCTCTGAAGCCGAAGTTACAGTTCCGTGTACGCTTCAGACATCACACGGATCCAAAAGAGGATAGATGGTTTACGAGAGAGGAACTGATGCAGACCGCTCCACACGTTGTCACTCATTATGAGAAGTCAAGGGAAAGCGCCAGATTGAGTGAACTTCTCAGAGGACTATCGAAGTATGGAGGAGGGAATGCGAGGCTCAAGGCCTCGGTAAGCCCTTTTGGGCCTGTTCAGCAAGTAAGGCCTCCCTAAGTGAAGGCGGGCCTGACAAGTTACGTGAGGCCTATTTTTGTGTTTTTCACAACTGGGGAAAATCAGACAGCTGCGTCAGTTGGTTGAGTGAGCCCAGGCCGTGCGTATCATCTGTTTTGGGCTTCTAGGCCCTTCCTGAATGAACCGGAGGCAGGCCCAGTTACGTGAGGCCTATTTTTGTGTTTTTCACAACTGGGGAAAATCAGACAGCTGCGTCAGTTGGTTGAGTGAGCCCAGGCCTTGCATATCATCTGTTTCGGGCTTCTAGGCCCTTCCTGAATGAACCGGAGGCAGGCCCTGGGCCAGACACGGGGCACAAACTGTACACATCACCCCTGGCAGTCAGACACGCGTAACTGCCAGAGGCCTTGCGCAATATTCCCCTGGGGCGACTTGGGAAGCCTACCGGAAGCTTCTGGGCAGAAGCTCAGACCAGCCAGGCAGCCCACCACTGGCAGCCACTTTCCATAAAGGAAAGGGGCTGGCCACTGGCTGGGCATTGGGGCACTCGCTGCTTCCAGTGTAAGCGCTGCTGTGTTAGCTGCTGATGCGTGTGGCCTACTCGCTCACGGGCGAGCAGGGTTGAACGCAGGCAGCCATAGCCGGGCTTCCCTGCTCATTGCTGGATGACATGCATGGTGGTCTTCGGGCGCATGTGGCATCTGTGTGCGGGGATCGAGGTTGTGAGTGTGGCGAGGACATACCTGGTGCTTGATGCGGACGGCATTGGCCAAAATCTGCTTGTACTTCGGAAAACTGATGACGTCACCGGCCGCATTGTAGATAGGCTAGATAGGATCTGCCAGTTGTAGTCTGGGCGCCGAGCGCCACTTAGGGGAACGACATTAGTTCATGGATGATGATGACGAGACTATTTCAACATTGTCATTTGTGAGCTCTGCTGCGCTCTTATTTTGTGTATTCCGCGCTGCAATTCTGGTTTTGGTTCGAGGTCACGACTATCTGGTTTCATATGTATGATGCGGCTTGGTTTCTGTATTTCGCTATCACTCATTTTTCTTGCATTAATGTTCATGTCATTGCCAATGCCTGAGCGTCCACCAGTCTCTATTGGATTGAGAGTAGTTCTGACCAAGTGTTCTGGGAGATTAGATATAGATGAGATAAGGCGATCACCCACCCGGTGACCCGGACCAATGCTTCACCCACCTGTCACCCACCCGACGGGTGACCCAGAGCAAATATTGACCCGTCCATGACCCAGAAATTCCCACTAGCTGCACACGCCTGTCACCCACCCAAGGAGGCATAGGTAGACCCAAGCCCAACCCAATCACTTTGTGGGTCGGGTGAGGCAGGTGGGTGCGGCTGTGGGCACCCGGTGCCCACCTCTGTTTAAAAGGTGAAACGCCTCTTTGATCCATGGATTTCCTGTAGGGGAACTGCAACTAAGTTGGCTTAGTGAACTGAAACATCTATCGTAGCTAAAGGAAAGCACGTCAATGCATGCATCATATGGGCAATCTATTGGTGAACTCGTTATGTGATCGTCATCGGACGCAATGAAAGTCGAAACACCATGGGGAAAAGCTTTCCTTGATCGATGGATTTCCCACTGGGAAACCGCAACTAAGTTGATTTAGCGCTGAAACACCTAAGTAGCTAAAGGAAAGCACAGCAAATCATGTGCACTCTATTGGTGACCTCGTTATATGATTATTGTTGGTCTGCTCTATTGTTGCTGTTGTCTCTCCTAATCAAATGGTTCTAGGGCAGGTGAACTTTTCAGAGCCATAGGCAGATGTACAGCAGCCCCTGACTCACGTTTGTGTGAGCAAGGCACCCTTTGGTTGCACTCCAAGTTGAGACTTGATGTCTTCATCTCTGGAGCCCCCTCTTTTCTCTCTAAAGGTGGATGTTGGTGCCAGATATTGTTGATACTACTCTCTTGTTTCCTTTCAGTACCTGATGATATGTACGAGGGAAATGTTGGCAGTACTAGTTTCCTTTATCCTTTTGACAGTATCTGATGATATTTATTTGCAGGCAAGTTGATGAAATGCAAGAAGAAATTTTAAGTCTCAGAGAAACGCGGGCGATGATGGAGGCTCGAATTACTGCTCTGAAGGTTTGGTTGATTACCTCTCCAAGCTGTTTCTATCAGTCTGAGCTCTGTGGGTGTCAAAGTTGCTGTTTCAGAGAAGTGTCCGAAACTGTCAGATGGTGCAACGCACCAGGCAACCTGTTCAGATGCCAATCACCATGTCCATTGCTGTTTACCTCATCCTTCCCCTTCCTTTCTACCTTCTTCTCTCTTTGTATCTCTCTCTGCTTTCCACCACTTTCCCCTTCTCCCTTTCGTTTATTGTGCCCTATGCTTTCTCTGTGACAGGGTGCGCCAAGAGGTGTTCCAAGGGCTTGTGATCAAATCCGCATCAAAAGCAGCCGTCCCCGGCATACATGTACTCTAATATGTGTGGCCCTTGTCCAGCAAGATATCTATCTGTTACCCTGTATCACGTTACTTCACGTGAAGATGCAATAGACATTCATACCGACAGTTGCCTTTCATTACCACCCAGGCAAGCCACATGATTGTGACACTCTGGTTAAAAAAGGTAAATATTACATTCACTTTGCTGTCAATCTCGTCAAAGCTGTGAGTCTAGGTGAGACCTGTGCCATTTTCTTAGCTCATGCCTGTGCAGTCGTGATCATGCATGTGTGACATGTTTTTAGTGGCTAGAATCTAAGGCTTGTGCTCCAGAGACTTAGGTCAGCTGCTTTCTGTATTTTGAACTCAGTGGCCCACTAAGTTGTGAGGCTCCGCGGCCCACAATTTCAGCGACTGCTTAGAAAAACAGCTTTTTGTGATTCTGGGCGAATCTCTCGCAATGATTTGTGAGGCTCCACGGCCCACAATTTCAGCGACTGCTTAGAAAAACAGCTGCACCTCTGCCATCAACTCAAAGAAAATACTAAATCTGATAAATGTGAAATAGGACTTGACCTCAACTTCACTTTCAGCATGCATACATACAGAGGTCGATGGCAGAAGAACTTTCGCAAATGCAGAATCAGCAATTAGTGTGAGATGGCGCTCGCCCTACACAGAGAACTCAGAGATCTGGCCTGTGGCCAGGAACTCAGTTTAAATCAGCTTTCACAACTTGCGGTTATGGCTGCTGAACACTGTCTGAAGCCTCATCCACATACTGTATCCACCATCAGACACTCTCCCACTTATGCACGCACGCTCTAGGATCTACCCTGAATGTCCTCGCATACACTCCACACACTCCACACACAACACACACACACACACACACACACACACTGCTGTCGTTCTACACTGGCGGCTATGGCCGCCGTCTCCCTCCTGCTATCTTCTACCTAGAGGCTATGGCCGCCGTCTCCTCCATCCTGTCCACTTCGTCTTCGGGCATCTGCAGATCTCCAACGCACAAGACGCTCAGGCAGCGCTTCTGCATCGTTCGCAGAATGAATGAATGGCTGGGCAATGCCTCTTTATTTATACTGTTGCGTCGATGGTGTGGCCTGCCTTCAGGCCCAGGCCCAAGGATTGTGCTGTCCCACCTGGTACTTGCTGACTGGACAAAGTAGACTGGGACTAGGGAGTGGGACTAGGGAGTGGGACTAGGGAGTGGGACTGCTGACTGTGCTAGGACTGGACTGCCCTTTTTTGGCTCACCTACGGACGACTGACCTCCTACAGTTCCGAAAAGCCAAGTAACAGTTTCTAGAAGGTCCTATGCTACTTGTTGACCCTTCCTAGAGCGTAGGGCTAACCTATAGGATAGACACTAGGACTACTAACACTCAGATCCACGGCTCAAGTCCAAACGACCAGATTATACACAGCAAACACAAACATCCGACTTTGAGGCAGGTCGCGAGTTCGAATCATGCGGGGGTCAACGGATACTGTACACGGGGTAGGGTATAGGTCTAGGGATCGAGCCCTGGGATCGGCCATTGCCATGCGAACTGGGTGAAACCGTTTCACTCCTGCCATGCTAGGGATCCTCCGAGAATTCTCTAATCCAAGGCAGGACCTTTATTCTTTCTTGCTATCTAGTAGGCAGGCACTATGTCCTGAGCGGTCTCTAAAAGCTCAGTTCTGGTGAACCATCTATCGCCTTCAGGTTCCTGGTAAGCAAACCTAACTTTATATTGCTTCTGAGGACGACCTCGACCTCAGAACAATTCATCTTCCTCTATGATCCGGTCTATGTCATAAGTGTCATCGATGTCAGGTGGAATCACTGCTCCTCGCGATGGAAATTGTTGACTGGTGACACAATGCAACAACTTTGACGCATGAAAAACTGGGTCTGTATGGGGGTGCAGTGGGATGTCGATCGTGTAGGATGGTTCGTCCTCTCCACCTTTGACTTTTAGGACAGGCCTTTACCCTCTGTATGCGGGCAATAACTTCTGCCAGATGGTTCTCTTTTGGGGCGAATTCCTTTGACTTGACCAGACTAAGTTGCCTACTCGAAACTTTGAAGGTCGGCGATGCTTGTTTGCCTGCTCAATCATGCGATGCTGGGCCTTCCTAAGGTTCTCAATCACCCTCGCAACTTCCTTTTCGTGCTGCAACGCAAACTCTTAGTCTTGGGTGGTAATCTCTGGACCTGGTCCCGGTTCAGTCCTTCAAACGGCCTACGTGGCCTAAAGGACTTGTGGAATGTGTTGGGAGTACGACATGTAGCTAGATGTACACTGTTGTTGTAGGTGCTAGCTACTTTGGGGAGCATCTCGTCCAAGTTGCTGTGGTCTGGTCTAGTATACATGCTGAGTATCTCCTGCAAGATCTTATTCATATGTTCGGTCTAACCATTTGTCTCTGGATGACGGTCGAACGACAGTAAGAACTTAGAGCCATAGACTTTCATATGATCTTGCCAGTTCTGGCTGGTGAACCGCATATCCCGGTCACTACCTATAGATAGCGGTAATTCATGCTCGCTCACCCAGAAGTCTACAAACTTTTCTATTACTAACTCTGTCCTGGCCGTTGCAGGCAATGGCACGAAAGCCGCATACTTGCTAAAGCGGTCTACTATGACCATGACTTGGTTCTTGCCATGCCTACTCCTGACTTCAGCGTCTATGAAGTCGATGGAAACTGACTCTCTGGGTCCTGCGGGAATAGGCAGGGGCCTGAGAAGACCCAATGGTGCTTGTGTCGTTGTCTTGTTGCGTTGGCAGGCTTTGCAGCTGCGTAAGTACTCTATGCAATCAGCCTTCATGCCAGGCCATGTATATGACCTTGATAGGTTGGCTAAGGTTCTCTGCCAACCAAAATGGCCTTCGGTATCACGGCACTCCCCTAGGATCAGGCTACGGATCTCTTCATTGCTGGGGACGCACAATCTATCAACGATGCCAGTTTTCTAAAAAAGTAGCCCGTTCGTGGTTCGATAGTCTGGCTCGCGATCAGGGGTCTCCTTAACTCTCTTTAGGAGATTGGATCCTGAGCGTACACAATTCTTATCTTCTGCTGCAGGTCCGTTCCTATATCCAGATAGTGTACTATTGCGCAGACGTAATCTACCCTTCTACTTAGAGCATCGGTTACCACGTTGTACTTTAACGGGCTTTAACTCAAAGTCAAATTGGTCTATTTCAGCTGCCCATCTAGTCAACTTGGGCGTCATCTTGGCTGGTGTCTACAGCCAACTTAGTGTCTCGTGGTCTGAATATACTTTGAAGTGCATCCCAAGCAGGTAATCCTCCAATGATCTAAGGCCTGCTTGAGAGTGTAGTTCCCTCTCGTATGTAGAGGCTGCTACCGTTTTTGAAGGCAGCCTAGCTGGCATGACGCTACGAGTCTATAACCATTGCCGTCAGCTTGCTGTAGCACAACACCTATGCCATACTAACTGGCGTCTACAGTGACGACAAATTGCAATGAAGGTTCGGCTACTTTAAGGACAGGATATTCTACCACGGCCTTTTTTAGCCTCTTTAGGGCCGAGGTGCAATCTTGGTCCCGATTCAAGATGGCTTCCTTCTTTCGGAGTCTGCGAAGGGGAGCAGCTATGGCAGAGAAGTTTCTTACAAACTTCCTATAGTAATTGGCCAGCCCTAGGAACGACCAAACTCTGTCAAATTGCGGGGAGTTGGCCATTCTCTAATTGCTGCGACCTTCCTGTCCTCTCGTCTGATGTCGTCTCCATCTAACACGTGGCCCAAGTAGAGAACTCCTGTCTTGGCCCACTCACACTTCTTCCCATTGATCTTGAAGCTGGCTTCTCTCAAAGATCTGCCTTAGATGGCCCTCATGTTCTTGGAGGGTCTTGTTGAATACATATCATCTAGGTAAATTACGACAAATTTATCTAGTCATGCCCTAAACAAATCGTTCATACAACGCTGAAATGTGGCTGGTGTGATGGTGAGTCCAAAGGGCATCACTATAAACCTAGGCTGGGCTGCCGCCTGGGGGGGTCCCAAAATCCAGCAGGGAATATATATATATATTTTTTTGAAGTCGGGGTTTTGCTGCGCTATCCTAGAGCACCCCGAATCTGCAATAAAAAAGTCTAAGTTGAGGGGGTGGGGGGGTGGAGAGGGGGAGGGAGGGGGGGGGGAGCTCTCTCTCTCTCTCTCTCTCTCTCTCTCTCTCTCTCTCTCTCTCTCTCTCTCTCTCTCTCTCT